CACAGAGCGTCAAAACACACCGACATCACCATCTGGAACACACAGAGCATCAAAACAAATCGACATCACCATCACGAACACACAGAGCATCAAAACAAACCGACATCATCATCTGGAACACACAGAGCATCAAAACAAACTGACATCACCATCTGGAACACACTGAGCATCAAAACAAACCGACATCACCATCTGGAACACACTGAGCATCAAAACAAACCGACATCACCATCTGGAACACACAGAGTATCAGAACACACCGACATCACAATCTGGAACACACAGAGTATCAACACACAGTCAAAATAAGGAACACACTGGGTATCAAAACAAATCAAAACCAAACGGAACATTCAAACCAAAACAAATTAAATACCAACAACAGGAACACACGGGAACAGAAAGACAGACGAACATCAACGAATGAAAACCAATCAAACCAAAGACTGAATACACTAGGACAAAATATGAATAATGACCTGCAATGGTCGTTTAAAAAGTTCAAGAAGGTTAAGATTCATTTTCGCTAGACAAGGGTAACCCTTCGCTAATGAAGATGAGTCAGATCATATTTTCCGGAACGTTTAAGTAACAACAAACTGGAGGACAAAGAAGACGTTGTGTATTTATAGGATTGAACAATACCGTACAATTACCAGATACACAGTCATGTACATCACTTGTTATTCTAATCTCTGGATTTCGATAACTACACGATCGCCTTCATCAGACAAAAAAACTGTGATACTTTGCTCTATGTTCAACGTAGTTTTACTTGGCTATGTTTTAGACGTTTAGACTCTATGTTGGACATTGTGATGTTTGACTCTACTGCAGAGGTTGTGTTGTTTGGCTCTACTGTGGAGGCTGTGATGTTTGACTCTACAGTGGAGGTTGTGATGTTTGGCTCTACTGCAGAGGTTGTGATGTTTGACTCTATGTTGGACATTGTAATATTTGCCTCTACTGTGAAGGTTGTGATGTTTGTCTCTACTGTGGAGGTTGTGATGTTTGACTCTACTGCGGATGTTGTGTTGTTTGACTCTATGTTGGACATTGTAATATTTGCCTCTACCGTGAAGGTTGTGATGTTTGTCTCTACTGTGGAGGTTGTGTTGTTTGACTCTATGTTGGACATTGTCATATTTGACTCTACTGCGGAGGTTGTGATATTTGACTCTACTGCGGAGTTTGTGATATTTGACTCTACTGAGGAGTTTGTAATATTTGACTCTACTGCGGAGGTTGTGTTGTTTGACTCTTTGTTGGACATTGTGATGTTTGACTCTACTGCGGAGGTTGTGTTGTTTGACTCTATGTTGGACATTGGTTGTCTATAGGTTGTGTTTTGTTTGTCATACTCTACTGCGCAGGTTGTAATATTTGCCTCTACTTTGAAGGTTGTGTTGTTTGGCTCTACTGTGGAGGTTGTGATGTTTGTCTCAACTGTGGAGGTTGTGTTGTTTGACTCTATGTTGGACATTGTCATATTTGACTCTACTGCGGAGTTTGTGATGTTTGACTCTACTGCGGAGGTTGTAATATTTGACTCTACTGCGGAGGTTGTGATGTTTGACTCTTTGTTTGACATTGTGATGTTTGACTCTACTGCGGAGGTTGTGTTGTTTGGCTCTACTGTGGAGGTTGTGATGTTTGCCTCTACTGTGGAGGTTGTGTTGTTTGACTCTATGATGGACATTGTCATATTTGACTCTACTGTGGAGGCTGTGATGTTTGCCTCTACTGCGGAGTTTGTGATGTTTGACTCTACAGTGGAGGTTGTGATATTTTCACTACTGCGCAGGTTGTAATATTTGCCTCTACTTTGAAGGTTGTGATGTTTGTCTCTACTGCGGAGGTTGTGTTGTTTGACTCTACTGCGGAGGTTGTGATGTTTGACTCTATGTTGGACATTGTAATATTTGCCTCTACTGCGGAGGTTGTGTTGTTTGACTCTACTGCGGAGGCTGTGATGTTTGACTCTATGTTTGACATTGTAATATTTGTAATATTTGACTCTATTGCGGAGGTTGTGATGTTTGACTCTACTGCGGAGTTTGGACTGCGGAGGTTGTAATATTTGACTCTACTGCGGAGGTTGTGATGTTTGTCTCTACTGTGGAGGTTGTGTTGTTTGACTCTATGTTGGACATTGTCATATTTGACTCTACTGCGGAGGTTGTGATATTTGACTCTACTGCGGAGTTTGTGATGTTTGACTCTACTGCGGAGTTTGTGATGTTTGACTCTACTGCGGAGTTTGTGATGTTTGACTCTACTGCGGAGGTTGTGTTGTTTGACTCTATGTTGGACATTGTAATATTTGCCTCTACCGTGAAGGTTGTGATGTTTGTCTCTACTGTGGAGGTTGTGTTGTTTGACTCTATGTTGGATATTGTCATATTTGACTCTACTGCGGAGTTTGTGATATTTGACTCTACTGCGGAGTTTGTGATGTTTGACTCTACTGCGGAAGTTGTGATGTTTGACTCTTTGTTTGACATTGTGATGTTTGCCTCTACTGCGGAGGTTGTGATGTTTGACTCTTTGTTGGACATTGTGATGTTTGACTCTACTGCGGATGTTGTGTTGTTTGACTCTACTGTGGAGGTTGTGTCGGAGTTTGTGATATTTGACTCTACTGCGGAGGTTGTAATATTTGACTCTACTGCGGAGGTTGTGTTGTTTGACTCTATGTTGGACATTGTCATATTTGACTCTATTGCGGAGGTTGTGATGTTTGACTCTACTGCGGATGTTTGACTCTACTGCGGAGAGGTTTGTGTGATGTTTGACTCTACTACAGGTTGTGTGGAGGCTGTGATATTTTCTCTACTGCGCAGGTTGAAATATTTGCCTCTACTGAAGGTTGAAGGTCTCTGTGTTGTTTGGCTCTACTGTGGAGGTTGTGATGTTTGACTCTATGGAGGTTGTGACATTTTGACTAAGGTTGTAATATTTGACGGAGGTTGTGATGTTTGACTCTACTGCGGAGGTTGTGTTGTTTGGCTCTACTGTGGAGGCTGTGATGTTTGACTCTACTGCGGAGGTTGTGATGTTTGACTCTACTGCGGAGGTTGTGTTGTTTGACTCTATGTTGGACATTGTAATATTTGCCTCTACTGCGGAGGTTGTAATATTTGACTCTACTGCGGAGGTTGTGTTGTTTGACTCTACTGCGGAGGCTGTGATGTTTGACTCTACTGCGGAGGTTGTGTTGTTTGACTCTACTGCGGAGGTTATGATATTTGACTCCATGTTGAACATTGTAATATTTTACTCTACTGCGGAGGTTGTGATGTTTGACTCTACTGTGCAGTTTGTGATATTTGGCTCTATGGTAGACATTGTGATGTTTTGCTATATGTTGGACATTGTGTTGTTTGGTTCAACTGCGGAGGTTGTGATATTTGGCTCTACTGCGGAGACTGTGATATTTGACTCTACTGCGGAGACTGTGATATTTAGTTCTATGTTGAACCTTGTGATATTTGGTCTCTTTCAGCCATTATGGTATCTTTTTTTATCGATTTAAGCTCAATGGCGAGTATGAAAGCGATAAAAGAGCCGTATGACACAGTAATGATTGATTACTTGGCTATGCTGTTTTCAGTTCTGAATTTGTTTTGAAAGACACACAACAAGGCGTATGCCACATTTTGCTTTATTAAAATATACTAATTGATTTTGCATTATTTTGCTCAAAAGCAAATCATAATTCTGTTGAATTTTCGGGCTAGTACCCCACCATTTCTGGGTTTGGACATCCTTTGTATCACTTGATTGTCACTACAGGAATTTAATATTAAATATATTCATTCGACAAAGATTTTTTTTCTTTTTTTGGTGGTATGTGGGTGGGGATATTTCATTATGAAATTCCCGGGTTCGGATCAGAGTCTACCAATATGTGCATTGATTAGAGTGGTCCTATGACAACGACATCTTGTGTTAAGTCAAGTGTTTGGAGAATGTCAGAAGGTAATTAAGTAATTTTAGTCTCCTATCAGGGTTTTCCTAATGTAATTCTCAAGAGATAAATTGATGCTGATTAGGGTTATAAGAAACAGTCTAATGGTGTTGAGTTTAAAGAGTTCGCATTCAGTCCCAGTAGCAAGTATATCACTGTCATCATGTTGATGGCACACTCCCACGTGATGTGCGCTACCTTCAGCGAATATGTTTTGTTTCTTAAGCTTTAACGATAATGATATAAAAATAAAACAATATCACATTACCCAGTATCCTAGATTCTAAGATTAATCATCTCCAATCCGGCCGTACAATCAATGGTTCACAAATAAATGTACAAGTACATTGTCAGGTAATGTTACATTAAACATTTTATCTGTGTTTATATAGCAGAATATATCATTAACACATATGTACACACGTGTACACAGGTGTATTAAATCAAACATTCTATGAATTTCAGTTAGGTCAGTAGAGAAAACGTTTCAGACAAACCTCACGTAACTGCTTCCTTCGCTCATATTATTAAACGTTCTTAAATACGATCACTAGTAAAAATTCAATGTCTTTACTTCAGGTGTAGGGCTTCCAGGAATATTCTGATATCTTCAGGTCAAGGTTTGAACACTTAAATGTTTTACCTTTACGCTGTGTACAAAATGACGAAGAAAAATTAAGCGAAGAAACATCAGTTGAAAACACATTTAAAGCGGCTTCACTTTACCAGGAGGGGTTCGTTTTACTATGATGGTAAAATGAACTGCGGTTCACTTCACCACTATAAAAGTTTGACCCCGGTTCATTTCATCATCAATATTTGTTGAGACTTTAAAACATTATTTATTTTCGTCATTTCAATTTTATCATTGTGATAAATGTAATAAATTATTTCTTTCATAATTTCATAAGTCAAAGTATCTTATTGATGATATTTTAACGGTTACTTAATTATCTACTTTTCTTCATGTTGCATCCTGCGGTTCTCATCACTTCTCCAGTCTCACCTGTTTTTCATTTACCTCATTACCTCATTTGGGGTTCTTTGAGCCGATGATAAACGGTTGGACGGGTTGGGGGTTCTTTGAGACGATGATAAACGGTTGGACGGGTTGGGGTTTCTTTGAGACGATGATAAACGGTTGGACGGGTTGGGGGTTCTTTGAGACGATGATAAACGGTTGGACGGGTTGGAGGTCTTTGAGAAGATGATAAACGGTTGGACGGGTTGGGGGTTCTTTGAGACGATGATAAACATTTGGACGGGTTGGGGGTTCTTTGAGACGATGATAAAAGGTTGGACGGGTTGGGGTTCTTTGAGACGATGATAAAAGGTTGGACGGGTTGGGGTTCTTTGAGACGATGATAAAAGGTTGGACGGGTTGGGGTTCTTTGAGACGATGATAAAAGGTTGGACGGGTTGGGGTTCTTTGAGACGATGATAAAAGGTTGGACGGGTTGGGGTTCTTTGAGACGATGATAAAAGGTTGGATGGGTTGGGGTTCTTTTAAACGATGATAAAAGGTTGGACGGTTTGGGAGTTCTTTGAGACGATGATTAACGGTTGGACGGTTGGAGGTCTTTGAGACGATGATTCTCAACTCCGTTCATTTATTTAATCTCAAGCCTTTTTCTTGCATGCATTGTCAGTATAAGATTAAGTTCTAATCGTTTTATCTAAAAGGAAACTTGTTCTGTGAAGAACGAATGTGTATACAGGAAAACTTACTAGGTATACAATATTTCCAGTGAGAAAACATTATTTAAATATTGTTTCCACCAATAATTTGTATGACGACGGTTCCTATGTGTTCCCAAGTTTCGGAAATTTTCCTTCTGATCTGTCTATTTTCGTGCGAGCATCCACTCACATCTTACAATTATCTGCTGTTAGTGTTTATTTGCCTTTCTTGTGACTTAGGATTCACTCTGTATAGAAGGATGGAGATGTGATAGATTAATTTATTTGGTTGTGATATCATAATTGAAGTTGATCCTTGCATTGAGAACATCACCTATTCTGACGGTCATCACCAACAAATTCACTTGCCATAGAGATTCTGGTCATCATACTCTCCACTCCATATTTAGATGACATGTTTGAGTATGTCGTTATGATAAATTTCCCTAACGTCGATCATTCTACATCAACAGGAAAGATGACCGCCATCTTTAGGCTAGCATCAGACTATTCATGACTATATTGGGAATTCGATCATGAAAACCAACCAATAAAAACGCGTTACATAACCATTATTTTAAAATTAATATTAGATCAGATGTTTCACGAGTCTGGATCTTGATATTCCATCAGTATCCTTACCTATAATTTGTATTGAAAATACGAAGATGTTCCCTGAAGACTAAGTGAAGATTTTCTCCTTTTCAATAAAGTATATTTTCATACAAACTTTTAATTATTTTGTAGGAGATTGGTGGCATGAGTTCAATATCGGGAACTCATCTGTGATCTTTAGGGAGCCATACACCTAAGTAATTATGGACGTATGCACTCACAATATCATTTCTGTCATTATCAGTACTCACGGCACTGCTGGGACTATGCCATCCAGGTGGTCGACGACTGGCCTTTACTTAATCAAGTATGTATGGCGGGATTTGTATTTTTACTATATGAAGAGATAAATTATACTAAATACTACAAAGAGAGCGACATAAATTAATTTAAATTAATCTTAATCTAAAACATTGTTTACACTCTCCGAACGATAATGATATGAATTAGTGAGGGGTCGCTCCTATTTTATTTCAATTTTTTGACGTTTTAATAAAATGGTTATACAAACTTTAAAATATTACCATTAACAGAAATTGCGCCATTTCAACAGACATGTTTTATAATGTTTTCTGTCAGTGAAGAACTGAATATCTAACCATTTAGTCAATTAAATACTTTGGTGACCTTTCGTCCAAGCAAATGAAAAAAATATCTGTTGAGTCGAAATGATTGTCATCTAATGCATGGAGTGTTACATAATTCTGTTATCAGAATGGCATTGCTAATGTGTTAGAGAAAACGACTTGACAATGATCTATCTATCTCATTGATTAATAAACGTATTCGGAATTCAAAAATCAATGTCGGCCATGTGATGAAATTTAAAAAAATGAAAATGCATTGTAACGAAAATTAAATGTAAGTTTATAAATAACTGACCTTTAAAATATGGAAGTTGACATTTTTCTATTGTGTTTTAAAAGTATGGATAAACGTCATTAACGAAAGAGATACGTGGACTGTTTTAAGAGATTTGCTGAATGTCACGGGATAATGGTGTTTATCATACCTTACACAACCTCGGAATCATAAACAGATCTGCCAAGGTTAAACTCGTGCATCGCGCAACCACAACGCATTGACAAGACGGAGGTCCAGAGACTGCAGACATACGACACTGGTGAGTGTTTGGCAAGAAACCATCAATAATCGTAAGTATTGGTATAACACTATTTTTATTACATAGTTTGATAAACGTTTGTCTTGTACAGTAGAAATCATAGGTAAAGAACAAACACTTATACTACTTAACATTTATGTGATTTATTGGTCTATATTCTATAACTTCGTTGATTACTAATGACTTTTAATTGGACGTAAATCAAACAAATAAAATATATAATGTAAGTATATTTTGTCTAGGTCACATGGTGTAAGTGGTAATGAGTCCATATAGGTATAGAATATAGATCTCAATATTGATATCGGACAACAAAGTGTGTCTTTATCTATATAGAACTGTATGGCTTAGATGTTGATAAATATATAGGACTGTATGGTGTATGTGTTGATAAATATATAGAACTATATGGTGTAGGTGTTGATAAATATATAGGACTGTATGGTGTAGGTGTTGATAAATATATAGAACTGTATGGTGTAGATGTTGATAAATATATAGGGCTGTATGGTGTAGGTGTTGATAAATATAGAACTGTATGGTGTAGGTGTTGATAAATATATAGAACTGTATGGTGTAGGTGTTGATAAATATAGAACTGTATGGTGTAGGTGTTGATAAATATATAGAACTGTATGGTGTAGATGTTGATAAATATAGAACTGTATGGTGTAGGTGTTGATAAATATACAGAACTGTATGGTGTAGGTGTTGATAAATATATAGAACTGTATGGTGTAGATGTTGATCAATATAGAACTGTATGGCGTAGATGTTGATAAATATAGAACTATATGGCGTAGATGTTGATAGATATAGAACTGTATGGTGTAGATGTTGATAAATATAGAACTATATGGCGTAGATGTTGATAAATATAGAACTGTATGGTGTAGGTGTTGATATATATATAGAACTATATGGTGTAGGTGTTGATAAATATAGAACTGTATGGCTTAGGTGTTGATAAATATATAGAACTGTATGGTGTAGGTGTTGATAAATATAGAACTGTATGGTGTAGGTGTTGATAAATATATAGAACTGTATGGTGTAGGTGTTGATAAATATAGAACTGTATGGTGTAGGTGTTGATAAATATATAGAACTGTATGGTGTAGATGTTGATAAATATAGAACTGTATGGTGTAGGTGTTGATAAATATACAGAACTGTATGGTGTAGGTGTTGATAAATATATAGAACTGTATGGTGTAGATGTTGATCAATATAGAACTGTATGGCGTAGATGTTGATAAATATAGAACTATATGGCGTAGATGTTGATAGATATAGAACTTTATGGTGTAGATGTTGATAAATATAGAACTATATGGCGTAGATGTTGATAAATATAGAACTGTATGGTGTAGGTGTTGATATATATATAGAACTGTATGGTGTAGGTGTTGATAAATATAGAACTGTATGGCTTAGGTGTTGATAAATATATAGAACTGTATGGTGTAGGTGTTGATATATATATAGAACTGTATGGCGTAGGTGTTGATAAATATAGAACTGTATGGCTTAGGTGTTGATAAATATATAGATCTGTATGGTGTAGGTGTTGATAAATATAGAACTGTATGGTGTAGGTGTTGATAAATATATAGAACTGTATGGTGTAGATGTTGATAAATATAGAACTGTATGGTGTAGGTGTTGATAAATATACAGAACTGTATGGTGTAGGTGTTGATAAATATAGAACTGTATGGTGTAGGTGTTGATAAATATATAGAACTGTATGGTGTAGGTGTTGATAGATATAGAACTGTATGGTGTAGGTGTTGATAAATATAGAACTGTATGGTGTAGGTGTTGATAAATATATAGAACTGTATGGTGTAGGTGTTGATAAATATAGAACTGTATGGTGTAGGTGTTGATAAATATAGAACTGTATGGTGTAGGTGTTGATAAATATATAGGGCTGTATGGTGTAGGTGTTGATAAATATATAGAACTGTATGGTGTAGGTGTTGATAAATATATAGAACTGTATGGTGTAGATGTTGATAAATATAGAACTGTATGGTGTAGGTGTTGATAAATATACAGAACTGTATGGTGTAGGTGTTGATAAATATAGAACTGTATGGTGTAGGTGTTGATAAATATATAGAACTGTATGGTGTAGGTGTTGATAGATATAGAACTGTATGGTGTAGGTGTTGATAAATATAGAACTGTATGGTGTAGGTGTTGATAAATATATAGAACTGTATGGTGTAGGTGTTGATAAATATAGAACTGTATGGTGTAGGTGTTGATAAATATAGAACTGTATGGTGTAGGTGTTGATAAATATAGAACTGTATGGTGTAGGTGTTGATAAATATATAGAACTGTATGGTGTAGGTGTTGATAGATATAGAACTGTATGGTGTAGATGTTGATAAATATAGAACTATATGGCGTAGATGTTGATAAATATAGAACTGTATGGCGTAGATGTTGATAGATATAGAACTGTATGGTGTAGGTGTTGATAAATATAGAACTGTATGGCGTAGATGTTGATAAATATATAGAACTGTATGGTGTAGGTGTTGATAAATATATAGAACTGTATGGTGTAGGTGTTGATAAATATATAGAACTGTATGGTGTATGTGTTGATAAATATATAGAACTGTATGGTGTAGGTGTTGATAAATATATAGAACTGTATGGTGTAGGTGTTGATATATATATAGAACTGAATGGTGTAGGTGTTGATAGATATAGAACTGTATGGTGTAGATGTTGATAAATATAGAACTATATGGCGTAGATGTTGATAGATATAGAACTGTATGGTGTAGGTGTTGATAAATATAGAACTGTATGGCGTAGATGTTGATAAATATATAGAACTGTATGGTGTAGGTGTTGATAGATATATAGAACTGTATGGTGTAGGTGTTGATAAATATATAGAACTGTATGGTGTAGGTGTTGATAAATATATAGAACTGTATGGTGTAGGTGTTGATAAATTTATAGAACTGTATGGTGTAGGTGTTGATAAATATATAGAACTGTATGGTGTAGGTGTTGATAAATATAGAACTGTATGGCTTAGGTGTTGATAAATATATAGAACTGTATGGTGTAGGTGTTGATATATATATAGAACTGTATGGCGTAGGTGTTGATAAATATAGAACTGTATGGCGTAGGTGTTGATAAATATAGAACTGTATGGTGTAGGTGTTGATAAATATATAGATCTGTATGGTGTAGGTGTTGATAAATATAGAACTGTATGGTGTAGGTGTTGATAAATATATAGAACTGTATGGTGTAGATGTTGATAAATATAGAACTGTATGGTGTAGGTGTTGATAAATATACAGAACTGTATGGTGTAGGTGTTGATAAATATAGAACTGTATGGTGTAGGTGTTGATAAATATATAGAACTGTATGGTGTAGGTGTTGATAGATATAGAACTGTATGGTGTAGGTGTTGATAAATATAGAACTGTATGGTGTAGGTGTTGATAAATATATAGAACTGTATGGTGTAGGTGTTGATAAATATAGAATTGTATGGTGTAGGTGTTGATAAATATAGAACTGTATGGTGTAGGTGTTGATAAATATAGAACTGTATGGTGTAGGTGTTGATAAATATATAGAACTGTATGGTGTAGGTGTTGATAGATATAGAACTGTATGGTGTAGATGTTGATAAATATAGAACTATATGGCGTAGATGTTGATAAATATAGAACTGTATGGCGTAGATGTTGATAGATATAGAACTGTATGGTGTAGGTGTTGATAAATATAGAACTGTATGGCGTAGATGTTGATAAATATATAGAACTGTATGGCGTAGGTGTTGATAAATATATAGAACTGTATGGTGTAGGTGTTGATAAATATATAGAACTGTATGGCGTAGGTGTTGATAAATATATAGAACTGTATGGTGTAGGTGTTGATAAATATATAGAACTGTATGGTGTAGGTGTTGATATATATATAGAACTGAATGGTGTAGGTGTTGATAGATATAGAACTGTATGGTGTAGATGTTGATAAATTGATAAATATACAGAACTGTATGGTGTAGGTGTTGATAAATATAGAACTGTATGGCGTAGTTGTTGATAAATATATAGAACTGTATGGTGTAGGTGTTGATAGATATATAGAACTGTATGGTGTAGGTGTTGATAAATATATAGAACTGTATGGTGTAGGTGTTGATAAATATATAGAACTGTATGGTGTAGGTGTTGATAAATTTATAGAACTGTATGGTGTAGGTGTTGATAAATATATAGAACTGTATGGTGTAGGTGTTGATAAATATAGAACTGTATGGCTTAGGTGTTGATAAATATATAGAACTGTATGGTGTAGGTGTTGATATATATATAGAACTGTATGGCGTAGGTGTTGATAAATATAGAACTGTATGGCGTAGGTGTTGATATATATATAGCTCTGTATGGTGTTGGTGTTGATAAATATAGAACTGTATGGTGTAGGTGTTGATAAATATATAGAACTGTATGGTGTAGGTGTTGATAGATATAGAACTGTATGGTGTAGGTGTTGATAAATATATAGGGCTGTATGGTGTAGGTGTTGATAGATATACAGAACTGTATGGCGTAGGTGTTGATAAATATATAGGGCTGTATGGTGTAGGTGTTGATAAATATAGAACTGTATGGTGTAGGTGTTGATAAATATAGAACTGTATGGTGTAGGTGTTGATAAATATATAGGGCTGTATGGTGTAGGTGTTGATAAATATATAGGGCTGTATGGTGTAGGTGTTGATAAATATAGAACTGTATGGTGTAGGTGTTGATAGATATAGAACTCTATGGTGTAGGCGTTGATAAATATATAGGGCTGTATGGTGTAGGTGTTGATAGATATACAGAACTGTATGGTGTAGGTGTTGATAAATACAGAACTGTATGCTGTAGATGTTGATAAATATATAGGGCTGTATGGTGTAGGTGTTGATAAATATAGAACTGTATGGCGTAGATGTTGATAGATATAGAACTGTATGGTGTAGGTGTTGATAAATATAGAACTGTATGGCGTAGTTGTTGATAAATATATAGAACTGTATGGTGTAGGTGTTGATAGATATATAGAACTGTATGGTGTAGGTGTTGATAAATATATAGAACTGTATGGTGTAGGTGTTGATAAATATATAGAACTGTATGGTGTAGGTGTTGATAGATATATAGAACTGTATGGTGTAGGTGTTGATAAATATATAGAACTGTATGGTGTAGGTGTTGATAAATATAGAACTGTATGGCTTAGGTGTTGATAAATATATAGAACTGTATGGTGTAGGTGTTGATATATATATAGAACTGTATGGCGTAGGTGTTGATAAATATAGAACTGTATGGCGTAGGTGTTGATATATATATAGAACTGTATGGTGTAGGTGTTGATAAATATAGAACTGTATGGTGTAGGTGTTGATAAATATATAGAACTGTATGGTGTAGGTGTTGATAGATATAGAACTGTATGGTGTAGGTGTTGATAAATATATAGGGCTGTATGGTGTAGGTGTTGATAAATATATAGAACTGTATGGCGTAGGTGTTGATAAATATATAGGGCTGTATGGTGTAGGTGTTGATAAATATAGAACTGTATGGTGTAGGTGTTGATAAATATAGAACTGTATGGTGTAGGTGTTGATAAATATATAGGGCTGTATGGTGTAGGTGTTGATAAATATATAGGGCTGTATGGTGTAGGTGTTGATAAATATAGAACTGTATGGTGTAGGTGTTGATAGATATAGAACTGTATGGTGTAGGTGTTGATTAATATATAGGGCTGTATGGTGTAGGTGTTGATAAATATAGAACTGTATGGTGTAGGTGTTGATATATATAGAACTCTATGGTGTAGGCGTTGATAAATATATAGGGCTGTATGGTGTAGGTGTTGATAGATATACAGAACTGTATGGCGTAGGTGTTGATAAATACAGAACTGTATGCTGTAGATGTTGATAAATATATAGGGCTGTATGGTGTAGGTGTTGATAAATATAGAACTGTATGGTGTAGGTGTTGATATATATAGAACTCTATGGTGTAGGCGTTGATAAATATATAGGGCTGTATGGTGTAGGTGTTGATAGATATACAGAACTGTATGGTGTAGGTGTTGATAAATACAGAACTGTATGCTGTAGATGTTGATAAATATATAGGGCTGTATGGTGTAGGTGTTGATAAATATAGAACTGTATGGTGTAGGTGTTGATATATATAGAACTGTATGGTGTAGGCGTTGATAAATATATAGGGCTGTATGGTGTAGGTGTTGATATATATACAGAACTGTATGGTGTAGGTGTTGATAAATACAGAACTGTATGCTGTAGATGTTGATAAATATATAGGGCTGTATGGTGTAGGTGTTGATAAATATATAGAACTGTATGGTGTTGCTGTGATTATTTACAGCGAGCTACATGGGCTAGGTAGTAAGATTAACATAGGGCCATACGGTCTAGGTGTCATTATTTATATAGGGTTACATTGTGTAGGTGTGGTTATATACAGCAAGCTACATGGGCTAGATAGTAAGATTAACATAGGATCATACGGTCTAAGTGTCATCATTTCTATAGGACTGCATGTTTTCTGAAATGTTACACTGTCAAACTAAATGACAATAGACCTTGACTGTAATCCTTAACAACCTCTCTTTCTTTGTACACTTGTAGGCATTCTATCTATCACCAATGCTATAATACAAATCATGTGTTATTATCGTTATAAAGGTTATCATCTAGAGATATAAACTGTCCTGTTTTATTATGTGTGGCTCCATAGATATAGAACAATAGAAAATAATAGAAAGTTTGGTGTTAGGGGGGAAATAATTATTATTTTATATTTATATTTATTATTGATCTGTCATTAAGTTATACAATTTTACAGTTTCTAACACTCCGCGTGAAATGTATGTAAATTATACCGCCTTCTGAAATTTTCACGTGATTTAAATTATTCTGAATTTCTTGTTATCTTTATCTAAAATTGATTAAGATGATTTCTGCGTCGGTATGTTTGTCTTTGAAAGAAGCCTGCTTCAGAGAGTTCATAAAGTAATCCAATTGTAAAAATACTTCATTTTATTTATCAAGATTAGATCTCCCATTCTTTTAAATTTCAAAATTTAATCTGAAATCTCGCGGGTTTTTAATATTCATTCCGTCTTCGTTTACGTGGACGATAACCTTTTACAGTAAAGTCATGACATTAACAATACACTGTTAACTATTCCTTAGGGAGATAGAGATGGGCATGTCCATAGAAAGCCGTAGGTGATTATGTCTCAGGTAATTAAAATGGCTTAAGGACAGATACACCTATTTACCCACCTATAGAGGACATTCCAGGCATCGACCAGTGTAGAAATTTCTGATACGTCACCAGCAAGTCTAGTTCATCTACTAGAGGGAAATTAACTCGCTGCTGAGCCTGATAAATCGAAAATAGATGTTTTATGTTAATCATTAATGTATGTGAAATGAACAGGTCAGCTGTCAGATCGTCACTAACAGAGCATTACTTCTGTTTTATAGGGCTAGATAAAACATATCAGATCATAACATCTGGAGCAGCATGTGCATTTTTAAAGTTTAATGGTTTACTCTCTCATTATCACAAAAATGGAAGTTCTTATAAAAACAGGTCGCCAACACAATACTAGAAATGAGTACAGAAAGCACAGAAAACTTTTCTAGTGCCGCGGGTGACTCCCCAAACATGGGCGTGGGCAGTATCGGGCCTATCACCTGGGACGATGCCACGTGGATACTCACAAGCTCCTTTATTATTTTCACTATGCAATCAGGTAAGAAATGTGATTAATTTATAATCAACGGTTTACAATCTGAAAATAATATGCAAATGTATTACAAAATGATTTTTTTTAGGCTATTTCTAATCCAGTCTCATCCTCAGACAGGAATGATGTCAACTTGGCCTACAGTTATTTACATCAAAATTCGTCAAATTACTTAATTTTTTATTGTCGGCATAAGTTTGAGATCATAAAGACATAGAATATATATATGAAGTAGCATTAACGCTGTACAATTATGGCGTATACATTACAAGTATTTGATTGCAAAAGATTGAAAGCGCCACGATGTAAAAAGAGGATTTGTGTTGAACAATATTATACTCATACATTTTCCATTTGGCTTTTTCAATATTCAGTTCATGTATAATAAAGCTGGGAAACGGTGAAAATTTATTGTTATATTTCCATATACACATTAATTTAATTTAATTACATTGTAAAGGGTCTCAATTTTTGTGTTTTTGTTTTCAAGCGATTTTGTGTACGCTTAATTTTATACATAAATGTAACGCAATACATTGACATGTGCTTATTTCAACAGTTCGTGGAAATACGAATACATGAATGAAGAGTACACAAAAATTGAATGATAATAAATTCCACTACAAAATAGATCATTTTAAAGTAGTTCAGCATTGTCTGTACATTTGTATTTGGGGCAAACTTTGCATAATCTAATTATCATTTATATCACACATCTTTTTATAAATCGTCGAAATAACACCAGCGTATTCTCATCAACTTTAACATCACAGAGAAAATAAAAATAACGTGAATTCCCAATATAAAATAAAAATGCCTTGCTTTCTCGAAAGTGCATTTGGAGTACAAGAACATGGAAGAATGTCATGAAAACAGGACCGTGCTCTTTATAAACCCCGACAATCCTTTCCATTACTTATGGACAATGTAGACTACTGTACTGCACTGTTCCCTATATATAGTAGGACAATTCTCTATGATATAAAATGATATGTGATATTCTTGGGGGATATTCTGTTTCCTCCTTAAAATCATATATTTTACGCAACGCTATTAATCCCTTTTCAAATCCAATTACAACTTCAATTTTCTATATGACTGCCCTAATTCAGAATTGGATACTGTAGAGCTAAACAATGATTTAAACTGCATCATACAGATGTTTCTACTTCCTAGGATTCGTCAGTGATGCTCAGGGCCTAAGTTTGGAAACCGTGGAGGCGATTGGGAGGAAACCGAAATTTATCTTTGTGTTCTCGTTTGAGTTGTCTTCGATTTGATCAGTAGAGAAGAATATTTAAATGTGTTTCGATAATATGAAATATTTTTTGTTACTTATTCTTATCGTTAAATTGTTTATTAATATTTGTAGGTTATGATAAACTTCTAAACGCCAAGCATAAGTATTATGTTATAGTCATGTTTTAATGTAATACAATTTACGTGCGGTATTCTAAACAGGATAAGTTATAAGTTTAAATGTCCTCACTAATGGCTTATAATCTGTAATAGAACCACAGCAAGCCGGGGACACAGATACAGCCGATAGTTTTTATAATATATTCTTACTACACAACTGCTATTTGTTCACGCATTCTTCAATTAATGAAAGGGATTTAGAATTTAGACAGAGAATTGTTTGTTATAACTTACTCGTTTCGGCACTTAACCACTGTAACCATGGTCAATAAGGTGCATTCGTGACAGGTACTCGTTTCGGCACTTTACCTCTGTAACCATGGTCAATACGGTGCATTTGTGACAGGTACTCGTTTCAGCACTTTACCACTGTACCCATGGGTTATAATCCCCGATGCATTCGTGACAGGTACTCGTTTCGGCACTATACTACTGTAACCATGGTCAATACGGTGCATTCGTGACAGGTACTCATTTCGGCACTATACTACTGTAACCATGGTCAATACGGTGCATTCGTGACAGGTACTCGTTTCGGCACTTTACCTCTGTAACCATGGTCAATACGGTGCATTCGTGACAGGTACTCGTTTCGGCACTATACCATGGTACCCATTGGTTATAAGGTGCATTACAATCACCCTAATATGTCATACATTTGTAATTTTTATAGGTTTTGGACTTTTGGAAGCAGGCTTTGTTTGCGGTCAAAATCAAATCAGCCTTAAGTGCAATCCTCCTGGTGAGAGTTAAATTAGTCCCGCATATTCTATATTGATGAAGTTCGTGTTTCTGTCATTCTTGTTCCTGGATTTGATTCAGCGTCTTGGAAAATATCAATATCAACATTACTTATTAAGCTGATACAATACATTTCTTTGGTAACTATGCATAGATTATAAAGATATTAAAATAACATCTCCGATCTCATAAAATTTCTTTGTTTTTATATACAGTTTGATTAAATCGGATTAAGAACTTTCAGGTTTTCACTTCGCTATAGCTTCGTTAACTAATTAGAACTTAGAGTTTAATTTCTTTTTTGTTGGCCTAGATTAGCCTTTCATTTTCTAATGTTCAGTTAAAAATTGTGTGGACATCACTCTCCGCAACACACATTGAACGTGGTATATAGGAATTATCTGCAAAAAATGTAGGCGAGTTGAAAATCAAAACGGATGTTTCTGTGCTATCTAATCTGCTGCGACTTTCCTCACATTCACCTAATAATGAGAAATGCTTCTAATACAAAATATATTTCACTGCAAGTTTCTTTTAAAGTCATTGTAATAGAAAATTAATGTAGGATTCGTTTGAGTCCGCAAAAGTCATTTGGAAAACTTTATTTGATTACAGATAATTTGTGTGTTACTGTGGCGTACAAAGAACAAGAATGACAGCCCTAACACAAACTCGTCTCCTCAACACATCAACTGTTACTTGTTTTAGTCTAATCACTTACACATTAAGATACAGCAGAAACATGCAACAATGATGAATTTTTAATGTAGGATAGCTTTAAGATAATGTAGAAATTCTTTAAAGCTTGAAGATATGGTTTATGTAAATAGCAACATAAAAACAATCAAAACGGTTCTAAAGATAACTTTCTGACGGACCAAATCATTCCTATATTATGTGTTTTTAAACAATTCCAATAATTTCTTTAAACAAGGATTCTATTTAGATAATAACTGTTTGGGGTTTGTTTACAGGTTTCGGACTACTTGAAGTAGGCTGTGTAACAGGAAGAAACGAGGTAAATATTATGATGAAGAACGCCGTAGATGTTATTTTCGGAGGAATATCCTACTGGGCAGTGGGATATGGTCTCAGTTTCGGAATGGATTACGGTTCCAACCCTTTCTGTGGCGTAGGTGAATTCTTTGTGGATTCCAGTGACGAACGCATGGGGCTTTTATATGCAACATTTGTATTCCAGTTGTCCTTTGCTACAACTGCAACAACCATTGTCTCGGGTGCTATGGCGGAGCGGACCAAGTTGACGGCCTACATATTGTTTTCGGTGTTAAACACATTCGTGTATTGTATACCTGCTCATTGGGAGTGGGCAACCAACGGGTTCCTGAGGACCATGGGGTGCGTCGATATCGCGGGATCCGGTGCTGTGCACCTTACTGGTGGTGTATCGGCTATGGTTGCCGCCATCATCCTTCAACCTCGCTCAGGAAGGTACGAAAATGGCACTAATCAGAAAACGCCACCAAATCCAGTCAGCGCCCTTGTTGGCATGTTCATGCTTTGGTAAGTTAACTCTATCTTACATGTTTTGCACATAGCTTATGTTATTTTCCAATACGGGTTAGGTGAGCTATAGACAAACCGCGGAGTCCGTTGTCAATCCGTCAACATTTCCTACAAATCGCTATTAGGCATAAACCACTGAGCTGATCTTGTCCTAATTTGTTCCGAAGTATCCAAATTCCTTGCGTTAAGCGGAATCAATTTAGTGTAAATGGTGGGTCTTGACCCCCTTGGGCGGGAGTGGCAGAGCCAAATAGGAGAAATAAGGGACATTCTTTAAAATCCTACTCCTCCTGCAGGAATAATTGGTCAGAAGTGTTCTAGGCTTCAATGGTGGGTCTTGAATCCAAGGGGCATGAGGGATGAGCCCAACAGGTGAAATAGAAAATATTCTTTAAAATCCTACTCCCACTGATATTTTTTCCCAAATTTGGTTTGAAACATTCTTTTGTAAAGGGAATCTTTTTTTTACATATGGTGGGTTTTGGCTCCATAGAGTGAGAATGGCAGAGTCGAATAGGGGAAATAGAGCAATTATTACAAATCCTGCTTTTTCTGTAGAAATACTTGGATGTTGTCCTAATTAGGTCTAAAGTATTCAAAGGTGAAAGGGAATCAATTTTGTGTAAACGGTGGATCTCAGCCCCATCGGGCGGAAGGGGCAGGCCCAATAGTGGAACTAGTGCAAATGCTTTAAAATCATTCCTCTTATGTAGAAATACCCTAATAATGTCAGAATTTGGTCTGAGACATTCTTGGAAAAAATTATTTAAACAGTGGTTTTCGGCCCTCTGGGGCGGGCAGGACGGGGTTCAATACTGGAAATGGAGCAAATTATTAAAAATCCTTCCTGTGTCGAAATGATTCAATTTTGTCCAGATTTGATCTGCAGCATCCTTTGGTGACGAGAACTTAGTTTAGTACAAACAGTGTATCTAACCCCCTTGGGTGGAGGGGCAGGGCCTAATAGGGGAAATAAATACAAGCGTTATAAACACTTTTCCTTCAGTTTAAAGTGATCAAATTTAGCAAACTCAACCAGGTATGAAAGAAAAATATTTACAGTTAATGAGTTTGTTGCAATGTGTTTTTGTGTAATAGTTCATAAAAACGTTCAGTTACTAGCCTTTATAAGAAATGTCATAGATCAGATACATTCCGGATATTACAAAAGAAAATTATCCCTAAAATAATATCTCCTTTATGACAACGTGTAATTAGATAAGAGTTTTTACAACAACAAAAAAAAGGGGGGGATCATCTTAAACTAATGGACTTCAATGTCGAACACAAGCATCACTTCTGTTTCTATTTGTGTCGCAGTGTGTGATATTTAAAATGTAGTATAACATTTCTTTAGTGTACTTTAGTGTACTTTAATGAAGTTTTAGTCTATGTGATGTGTTCGACATTAACTTAAGTTTCAAATTATAGACGTACACGCCATGTAATCGCCTAGTCTTTTAACGATCTTCCGCCTACAGACTACTCATGATATCATCAAATACTTACATTCTAACAAAGGTGGGATTATAAAACAACAGAACACACGCCACTGAAACATTAGAAAATTGCGTGAAACCTGTTTAGAAAAGAGGGTTTGTCACTTACATCCTCCTCCAATAGTGTCTATTACCGGTCGTGCCACCGTATACAGATTGACTAAGTTGTATTATCGGTTAATTTATGTAATAACCCACTGCATGTGGCTCTAGGTTCATAAAGCTTGATAAAATCAGAGTACCTTGGTAAGAAAGTTTCGTCCGATTACACCATCCCGCCCTTGCGCGTTCCCAAGTAAGCTGAAAAGAGGATAAGTTGATATATGACTTGTGGCTAAAAGAAATGGTTTTTATTTGTAACAACAAGCCCATGTCAGGAGAGTCATAATCCAAAGTCAGATTCAAGAACACTTGCTCATAATTTGAACAAAAGGATTCTCACGGAAACACATGAAAAAGGAGAATAAGACCAGCTGTTCCAGATGTGTCAGCGTCTTCTGTTCCATTGACGACACCAGCCATGTAAACCTTGGTCATTCCAATTAAACAAATTTAGTAGACGACATATTCTGTGTCTAGTCAGATAGTTTAAATCATGGAAGTCGATTTATGTCGGCGGATAAGGCATTCAATATATTGAACTCTGTCGACAAACATTATAACATTTCCTGCTTACAAAAAGAACTATGTTTGCTTGAAAGCCAAAGAAATGCCTACTTTTACACTATCAAATCTTTCTAGAGACCCAATACTAAAACAGCCAGATATATTCAGAAAAGAAGTCGTTCATTTCATATTAAATCTAAGTGTTGATACAATCTTGATTGTAACGATTATGGTGTGACGGTTGTAAAGGTTGTATAATTTTTGCTGTCTAAATCTCAATGGGGTGAATCTGTTAAATATCAGTTTTGAATTAATGAATGTTCAAATGATTTTCGATCATCTATTTTCAACAAGTATTTATACATTTCAACACTAGACTAAAGCTCTATTTCCACATGAGTGCCGATAGTGTCTGCGGAAGGAAAACGGTTTGGGGCGTGGTATATGTGTGGGGAAAGATCGGATTGTATCAGTTAACTGAAAGCTGAAGTTCTATATTAGGATGGAATTTTAACACCAGTGGCTCTACTGTTTTTAAGACGTTTTAGCGTTGGCGTCATTTTCAAGCAGGATAACGCCACAGTGCACACCAGTCGCATCAGGAGAATTTTTCTCTTCTGTCACCATGATAATGTTTGAAAGGTTCTTGAGCTAGGCGTGAGGTCATCAAAACCAGTTGTCATGCTTGCAGAAGCTGGTCTAAGCCTTGAACAATAGAACCTCTCCTTGAATTACCTTCCAGTTTACTAGTTCCATGCTGTTTACCTCGCTGTCTACCCATCACTCACGGATTACATTTGATGTTGTTCTTCTTGTCTTAAACGTCGAATAAGACCAACAAGTTTGTAATTAACGAAGACAGCAGTTTCAAATCCGAATTAATTGATTTTTGATAAGTACTTAATGGAGATATATGAAGGGAATCATTGATTAAATCACAATGTAAGTTATCGTTACATTTCCTTTTAGTTTAGTATATATCATGTTTGCTTTAATTGTCAGTCTATGATATTCATAATTTGCTTTCTTTCTAATTCTGCTTTGGAGATATAAAATTCTTTTCCTTTCAGGTGGGGTTGGTTAGCCTTCAATTGCGGTAGTACATTTGGTATATCCGGTGGAAAATGGCAGCTTGCATCAAAGTACGTAAATGTCAGAGACGGCGGAGGGTTTGGTTAATCATTATACTTAGTAATAACACACTGTTAAACCAAACCAGTGTTAAACAGGGTACAATATGAACGAAGAGTTTTTTTCCTTTGAAAATTATCAAACGTAAAATACGAATGTCTCACAAAAACGAGATTTTCAATTCATATCGCGTCTACATAGTGTTGCACTTCACTATCATTATCTGATATTAATTATTTGCCAATCGAACTCTTCAGTTGTTGTTAACTGTGTAAAGAGAATAATATATCGGTACTACGGGTGTAAAAGACCTGTGAGTACATATGTAACAATGTCCCTACAGGTATATTCTACAATCACAGATTCCCTCAGGTTCCTTTATCATATTTCTGATTTTTTTCATTACAGAGCAGCTGTTGTCACGTTGATTGGTTCTATGGGTGGAGGGGCCACGGGAGTCATTATTTCGTAAGTGCAATCGTTTGGTAGACACTGCTGGTGGACTTTCAGTCCCTACGGTTTGCTTTAACCTGCATGCCAAGTTGAATTCATTCGAATAGTGGCACGGTTCAGAATATACACATGTACTTGACGCTGTTCTGAAATTATCTGATATATGAAATTTAAGAAATTTATTTAATTATTTTCTTTCGCTTACTTTGAAATTTTCTCTGTCGTCTCCTAGGCGTCATAACTTAGGCCCTTAGCCTCACTGAGGAGTCCTAGGAGGACGAAATAATATTTCATTGTTTCCCTGTATCTTATACTATATCTTATCTTAAATCTGTATTTAAAGGGGCTATTCACTTGTGTGTCTTTTGCAAAATCTTATAACTGAATAGAAAAATATATTTTTCCAATCCGTTAATATATTCGTTGTTACAATTCCCGAGGCAGTGTCACCCGTGCAGGTGACAAGGAAAGTATGTACATTATATATATCACTGCTTAACATAAAAAACGAATAACAATATGCATATCGTGGATGATTTCTCCTAATCAAGGGAAATCCAAGGGTCAAACAATGGTCGTATAGGAGGCGACTAAATGTGGGCTCCCAGTAGAATAGGACTTTTTCTGGGTCTTTCTTCCAACTGGACATTAAAGAGACCACTTGGGACTTTGATCCTTTTTATTTCTCTGTAATTCTGCTCTGTTCTGTGATATTTTTTACGCTCTAGGTGCCTCTCTTGACACTCGTCATCGTATCATCCTGATTGTTGCATTAAACCCTGTAGATAAAAAGTAAAACAGGCCGAGGTAATTGTGATACCTATGGTAATCTCAGACTCTTTAATTTCATTATTCGCAATAATTTAGCTTGATGTCGTTCTCTCTTTGATCAGCTTTATCATGAATAACCGGAAGTACAATGTGGACTACTTGGTAAACTCTGTACTCTGTGCTCTGGTATCGATCACAGGTAAGTCTGTACCTTGTTTGTATCACAAGTTGAACTCTTTAAAATAAACACGTGACCAGGAAGTGTAAACAGACCTACTCGTGTAAAAACAGAAAAAGTTACTTACATCAGAGAATATAACTTGGGGAAAGTCGTGTCTTATACATCGGAACAGCCATTGTTTATGTGACAATTATGGCATTTAATTGCTATAGGTTGCTCACTGAACAATGAAGATGATTTCAACTATAATAGAATACAAGCATTTTTATGAGTTGTTCGTTTGATAAATCTTATACTGTTTCCATATTGCATGCAAATGCATCATTTATATGACAAAACAAAAAATAAAAACATTTCCTTGTTCAGTTATCGATAATGACGGATGCTAAATAAGAGGCGTGAAAAAAGTTCTGGACCAAAATCTGCACCCTTGTAAATATATCTCAGAAACATTCGTTGTAACCTTTGTATTTCTAAAATGTGATGATAGAAAGTGCTGTCTCAGTATATAGTGTTAGATAAATTTAAATCCACTGGGTAATGAACACTGAAATCGATCGCACAGATCCTAAAATAAGGTTCGGACTTCAATAAGTATTGATAAGTTAGACATTTAATGGTTAATGGAAACGCGTCGACCAAAATAAGCTGTATCAGTATTACAGAAGTATTAACACTCTTTCTCGATTTATATATGAATACCATATTTGTTCAATATCCCGACTTATGAATTAGGGATTAAAACATTTAACCTTTGATCTTATTTTAACATGCACTTATATAACATATTAATGATATATCATCACATTTTGTAATGCTGTGCTGTAATCAGGCCCTGTAATATAGTCCCGTTTGATTTACTGTATACTATACATGTTTTACAGCCGGCTGTGCTGTAATCAGGCCCTGTAATATAGTCCCGTTTGATTTACTGTATACTATACATGTTTTACAGCCGGCTGTGCTGTAATCAGGTCCTGTAATATAGTCCCGTTTGATTTACTGTATACTATACATGTTTTACAGCCGGCTGTGCTGTAATCAGACCCTGTAATATAGTCCCGTTTGATTTACTGTATACTATACATGTTTTACAGCCGGATGTGCTGTAATCAGGCCCTGTAATATAGTTCCGTTTGATTTACTGTATACTATACATGTTTTACAGCCGGCTGTGCTGTAATCAGGCCCTGTAATATAGTTCCGTTTGATTTACTGTATACTATACATGTTTTACAGCCGGATGTGCTGTAATCAGGCCCTGTAATATAGTTCCGTTTGATTTACTGTATACTATACATGTTTTACAGCCGGCTGTGCTGTAATCAGGCCCTGTAATATAGTTCCGTTTGATTTACTGTATACTATACATATTTTACAGCCGGCTGTGCTGTAATCAGGCCCTGTAATATAGTCCCGTTTGATTTACTGTATACTATACATGTTTTACAGCCGGCTGTGCTGTAATCAGGCCCTGTAATATAGTCCCGTTTTATTTACTGTATACTCTACATGTTTTACAGCCGGCTGTGCTGTAATCAGACCGTGGGAAGCACTCTTAATCGGATCCATTGGAGGTGTAATAGCTATTTTCTCCGTCAAACTCATGGACAAAATGAAAATTGATGATCCCGTGGGAGCCGCTGGTGTTCACGGGGCCGGGGGAATCTGGGTAATATCAGAATAATGTTACGTATCGTGTAATATTGTTTCTACAGTAGGTTGAAGGTAAAGATTGTTACCATCTAGAAATAGGATGTATCAGAATAACATGGTGAATTTCTATCGTGGAAACTAAAGGGCTTTGTTTCCTTTCATATCAACGAATGCTTTATGATTTTATGGGCGATCACATTCAACGAACATGAGATTGGCTCAAATATATTACCTAAATTTCGTCTGAGAAGGGTTTGAAATAGTATTTATTTAAATCTGTTTTCATTCCTTTTTAGGGTATGCTAGCGGTAGGTTTGTTCGCCCAGAATGACTCGTTAGAGAACACAACTCAAGGACGATCCGGAGTGTTTCACGGAGGCGGTTTTTATCTAATAGGAATACAGCTTCTCTCAGTCGTTTGTCTGATAGTGTGGAGTGCTCTAACTTCTCTCATATTACTCGTGGTAAGGCACAAACTTAAGGTGTTAACCGTGTTTCCTTAAGTTTCAAATACTATTCCATCTCTATAAAATTCTTGTAACGTAAACCGGTCCCAAAGCTGCGATGATATTTGTGATATGAATGGCATCATAATGAACGTGTTCTGTCAAACGATATGTACATTGTATATCTATAACACATGCTGTCAGTGTTGGTAAGTTCATTATATTCCATTTCTTTAACATAGATTATCAAGTATACAGTTGGCCTTCGTTTGAGTAAAGAGGAAGAACGCCTCGGGGCAGACTTCGTTGAACACAATATCGGAGCGAATATGATCACAGGTCAGTTTCTTAGTAGACCAGACAGTGTCTTCGCCATTCGCCAAGACACAGTATCACGTAATCACGTCACTGTCGACGAAACAACGACCGTCGAGTCGAACGAATGCACGAGACGCCGGGATTCTGTTACGTCCAGAAAGTTGAAGACCACTGCCACCGCAACTGTTCATCACCAACGCAAGATGCTTCGACGACAGGACAAAATTGTACCTGAAAGTATACCTGGACAGTGTGTTTTGTATCAGTAATACCAAGTCGTGGATAGTGTGTCTGTTATAGCCTATGTCACAATGTATACTATAATATAGTACAATAATATAGTAATTTTGCTGTCAATACATACAGGTGTATATAAACTACCAGCACAGAGCTTTGTGTAAATTTTCCCTTATACTGTTTATTGTCAGAATTCTGGAAATGGTATAAACATTTGTAGTTTTAAACAAAAAACAAAATAACGGAAAAAAAGACTGACAAAGAGTAATCATTATAAACAAGGAGAGAAATAAACTTTTGGGAAATTGAGAGATTAAAATCCACAACAGATTAACGAACTGAAGAAAACTGATACATGTTGTTGTTTCAGTCTAGTCGTTAATCCCAGCTCTGAATTACCAAGAGTAACTGCCATACTCATGTTAACTGCAGCAGTTTTGTATAATGTGATCGCTATTTTTGTTAAATCGATTCACTTCGATTTACCCGGAAAACCATACAAGTCACCGTATTAAAGTTGTAAACGATATAATTTTCGTATCCTCAGTTATTGTGCATTGTCTCAAACAATAAATAAACAGAAAAGTTATTATTCATAATGAAAGGCATTGTATATTGTTTCTTGTTTAATGTAATCAACATCACAATATGCCGATATGTTATAGATCGCGATCATAGGAAAAGTAATTATATTAGAACCCTTGCTGGTGATGGGAACTGTTCTTGTGACTGGATTAGAGCTGATGGCGAGAGTGGGATCTGTGTAGTGACGGTATGTAACGGGAAACAGTGGAGCTGGTGGTAACAGTGGCGGTGTGTAATGAAACGGGTGGCGGTATGTAATGATACAGGTGGCGGTGTGTAACGAAACGGGTGGCAGTGGCGGTGGTGGGAATAGTGACGGTATGTAATGAAACGGGTGGCGGTGGTGGCGGGAATATTGGTGATGGTGGTAATAGTGGCGGTATGTAATGAAACGGGTGGCGGTATGTAATGATACGGGTGGTGGTGTGTAATGAAACAGGTGGTGGTGGCGGAGGTGGGAATAGTGGCGATATGTAATGAAACGGGTGGTGGTATGTAATGATACGGATGGTGGTGTGTAATGAAACGGGTGGCGGTAGCGGTGGTGGGAATAGTGGCGGTATGTAATGATACAGGTGGCGGTGTGTAACGAAACGGGTGGCAGTGGCGGTGGTGGGAATAATGACGGTATGTAATGATACGGATGGTTGTGTGTAATGAAACGGGTGGCGGCGGCGGTGGTGGGAATAGTGACGGTATGTAATGAAACGGGCTGAGGTGGTGGCGGGAATATTGGTGATGGTGGTAATAGTGGCGGTATGTAATGAAACGGGTGGCGGTATGTAATGATACGGATGGTGGTGTGTAATGAAACGGGTGGCGGCGGCGGTGGTGGGAATAGTGGCGGTATGTAATGATACGGATGGTGGTGTGTAATGAAACGGGTGGCAGTGGCGGTGGTGGGAATAGTGGCGGTATGTAATGAAACGGGTGGCGGTGGGTAACGAAACGGGTGGCAGTGGCGGTGGTGGGAATAGTGACGGTATGTAATGATACGGATGGTGGTGTGTAATGAAACGGGTGGCGGTGGCGGTGGTGGGATTAGTGGCGGTATGTAATGAAACGGGTGGCGGTGGGTAACGATACGGGTGGCAGTGGCGGTGGTGGGAATAGTGACGGTATGTAATGAAACGGGTGGTGGTGTGTAAAGAAACGGGTGGCGGTGGCGGTGGTGGGATTAGTGGCGGTATGTAATGATACGGATGGTGGTGTGTAATGAAACGGGTGGCGGTGGCGGTGGTGGGATTAGTGGCGGTATGTAATGAAACGGGTGGCGGTGGGTAACGATACGGGTGGCAGTGGCGGTGGTGGGAATAGTGACGGTATGTAATGAAACGGGTGGCGGTGGGTAACGAAACGGGTGGCGGTGGTGGTGGTGGGAATGGTGGTGATGGTGGTAACAGTGGCGGTGTGTAATGAAACGGGTGGTGGTGTTGGTGGTGGTGGAAATAGTGGTGGTGGTGGCGGTGGCGGCGGCGGTGGCGGTGGTGGGAATAGTGGTGATGGTGGTAACAGTGGCGGTGTGTTATGAAAATGGCGGCGGTTGAGAACGCAATGATAGTGGGAATTGTGATAGTGGGGACCAGAATGGTGATAATGGTTATGATGTGGTAGAAAATTTGCAAACGAAGGGAAAAATTATCGCTTGTGGTGAGAGTTGTTATAGAATAAATGGTGACAGTAACAATAGCTATAGTGGTAATGGCGGTTAAGTACAATAAAAGTAGGATGTGTTCACAATACTAAAACGTCACTGATGTTTACTTAACAAACCATCAGATTTAATTTGCTGTTAAAATATAAAAGACACTACTATTGATCTTCAATGTAATTCTTTACAGTATTTCGAGGTTTACCCATAATGTGATAGTTAATGAAAAACTTTAGAGATGATAGATGACGTGTTTGTCATACCTTCTTTAAATCTACATTATACATTAAGTAAAACAATAGAGCACCTTTATTGTCGACATTGTTCCCTATTAATTACTGACAACATCCCCGGATATAACACTCTATACCCCGACATTGTTCCCTACTAATTACTGACAACATCCCCGGATATAACACTCTATACCCCGACATTGTTCCATACTAATTACTGACAACATCCCCGGATATAACACTCTATACCCCGACATTGTTCCCTACTAATTACTGACAACATCCCTAGATATAACAATCTATACCCCGACATTGTTCGCTACTAATTACTGACAGCATCCCCAGATATAACACTCTATACTCCGACATTGTTCGCTACTAATTACTGACAACATCCCCAGATATAACACTCTATACTCCGACATTGTTCGCTACTAATTACTGACAACATCCCTAGATATAACAATCTATACCCCGACATTGTTCGCTACTAATTACTGACAACATCCCTAGATATAACACTCTATACCCCGACATTGTTCCCTACTAATTACTGACAACATCCCTAGATATAACACTTTACACCCCGACATTGTTCCCTACTAATTACTGACAACATCCCCGGATATAACACTCTATACCCCGACATTGTTCCCTACTAATTACTGACAACATCCCTAGATATAACACTCTATACCCCGACAATGTTCCCTACTAATTACTGACAACATCCCCGGATATAACACTCTATACCCCGACATTGTTCCCTACTAATTACTGACAACATCCCCGGATATAACACTCTATACCCCGACATTGTTCGCTACTAATTACTGACAACATCCCTAGATATAACACTCTATACCCCGACAATGTTCCTTACTAATTACTGACAACATCCCCGGATATAACACTCTATACCCCGACAATGTTCCCTACTAATTACTGACAACATCCCTAGATATAACAATCTATACCCCGACATTATTCCCCACTAATTACTGACAACATCCCCGGATATAACACTCTAAACCCCGAAATTGTTCCCTACTCATTACTGACAACATCCCCGGACATCTATACCCCGACATTGTTCCCCACTAATTACTGACAACATCCCCGGATATAACACTTTACACCCCGACATTGTTCCCTACTCATTACTGACAACATCCCCGGATATAACAATCTATACCCCGACATTGTTCCCTACTAATTACTGACAACATCCCCAGATATAACACTCTATACCCCGACATTGTTCGCTACTAATTACTGAGAACATCCCCAGATATAACAATCTATACCCCGACATTATTCCCCACTAATTACTGACAACATTCCCGGATATAACAATCTGTACCCCGACATTGTTCCCTATTAATTACTGACAACATTCCCGGATATAACACTCTATACCTCGACATTGTTCCCTAGTAATTACTGACAACATCCCCAGATATAACACTCTATACCCCGACAATGTTCCCTACTAATTACTGACAACATTCCCGGATATAACAATCTGTACCCCGACATTGTTCCCTATTAATTACTGACAACATTCCCGGATATAACACTCTATACCTCGACATTGTTCCCTAGTAATTACTGACAACATCCCCAGATATAACACTCTATACCCCGACAATGTTCCCTACTAATTACTGACAACATTCCCGGATATAACACTCTATACCCCGACAATGTTCCCTATTAATTACTGACAACATCCCCAGATATAACACTCTATACCCCGACAATGTTCCCTATTAATTACTGACAACATCCCCAGATATAACACTCTATACCCCGACATTGTTCCCTACTAATTACTGACAACATCCCCAGATATAACACTCTATACCCCGACATTGTTCCCTACTAATTACTGACAACATCCCCAGATATAACAATCTATACCCCGACAATGTTCCCTACTAATTACTGACAACATCCCTAGATATAACACTCTATACCCCGACAATGTTCCCTACTAATTACAGACATCCCCAGATATAACAATCTATACCCCGACATTGTTCCCCACTAATTACAGACAACATCCCCGGATATAACACTCTATACCCCGACATTGTTCGCTACTAATTACTGACAACATCCCCAGATATAACAATCTATACCCCGACATTGTTCCCCACTAGTTACCGACAACATCCCCGGATATAACAATCTATACCCCGACATTGTTCCCCACTAATTACTGACAACATCCCCGGATATAACACTCTATACCCCGACATTGTTCCCTACTAATTACTGACAACATCCCCGGATATAACACTCTATACCCCGACATTGTTCCATACTAATTACTGACAACATCCCCAGATATAACACTCTATACCCCGACATTGTTCCCTACTAATTACTGACAACATCCCTAGATATAACAATCTATACCCCGACATTGTTCCCTACTAATTACTGACAACATCCCCAGATATAACACTCTATACCCCGACATCTTCCTATACTAAGCACTGACATCCCCTGAACCAATGTATACCCTGATACCCTGACATTGTTCCATTAAATCATG